AAGCCAAATATTCTGGGGAAGTGAAGAGAAAGATCCTGTCACAGAACTTGGGGGTGACCTTTTATTTATTTATTTATTTATTTATTAAAACATTTTTATGCCGCCCCATTCGCCGAAGCCTCGGGGCGGCTCACATATTTAAGTTAAAATAATTATAATATAAATTAAAATATAAATATAAATATAAAATTAAAATACCTTGAGAGATATTTCTCATATATATAAAAATGTGATATATATAAATTTTTTCTCTTGCAAAGAAGCACATGGTCCTCCTTCCTTCTGCTGAATCCTCACAGCAAACCATCAAGATAGGTTTGGGTGAGGGTCAGTGACTGGCTTAGTAAGTGTTGAATGTGGGTTCTTGTGTTGTGTGAGCTCAGCAGCACTAACAAACATGGCTTGCTAACCAGGGGCAGGCAACCCTTGAAAAAAACTCCTAGTTTGTTGTTAGATGCGGGAAGCTTTGTGGGTAGCACAGCTAGGTTCACAATAACCCACAATTCAACAATGACCCAAGGTTCAACAACCCATAGCTCAACCCATACTCAGCCTCGAGTATGAACCCAGCCAGAAGTGTGAACCAACACTTCCTATATTTAGGAAGCTTCCATTCTCTCATATCCAGCAAAAATATACAAAGGAAAGCAATTTAACAGCTTACACTTAGCACAGAAAAGAAGTGGCCTTGATGTTTTTGATGTTTTGACACTGTATTACGTTCAGGGTCCCCAGCGTGTCCACAGATGCCTACCTTGCCCCCATCAGCTTCTCCGGTCCTCCTGATTTTTGTTTAAGAGGGTTAAAATGGAGTGTATTTTGAGGAGCATATTGCCAAAGGCAAACAATCAAGATTTCTTTACATGCATCAGAGGCAGCAAGCTGGCTAGGGAGGCTGTTGGCTGACAAGGTGCACTGAAAGAGGATAAAGAGATTGCTGAGAAGCTGAGTACTGTTTTTTTCATCTGTCTTCACTATAGGCTATATAGGGCAGATACCTGTGTCGCCATGGATATTTTCAGGAAAAGGAATGTGAGAAACTGAGGCAGTAAGTTATGACTAGACATAAAGTTATTGACTTTATTGTCCAACTGAAAGCTGACAAAGCAGTAGGTCCTAATGATATCCAATCTACAGTTTTTAAAGCATTCAAATGGGAAATTGCTGACTTTTTAATGAAAATATGTAATAAATATCAGAGCAAGTACTAGCAGTGAAAAGATAAAAGTATTACCATGCCATTAAGCACTAAGAAGCAACTGAATGAAAATACTCAACAGATAGTCAAAACCTGGAGCCTTCCACAGTCTCTTAAAATTCGCAATGCAATCCCATAGATACCTACTCAGGAGTAAGATCTGCTGATTTAGCTGCAAAGCTAAGTGGGCACAGGATTATCATCTTTATTTGGGATGGAACCCTGATAGAAAAATGATGTTCTTGCATTCTTCAACAGCTACAAATACACTAAGGCCAGATAATTCCCCTGCCAGTTCCTGTTAATACACACTGTCATCTAGTGGCAAATAGCTGAATCAATGTGGACTCCTCATATGCGTCTATCAGTTCGCCCTTTGATTTTAGCCTTGCCTGGTAGTCAGTGACTGCAGAGATATAAGCTTGGGCCAAGTAATTCATAGCAGCTAAATAGCTTGTTTCAGTCCTTCATGCTACAATTAAGCACAAAATACAAGATGTATGTTGAGTATCAAGGCTCGTCATGCAAGGCTCTGCTGTGCTCTTGCAGGCAAAGGCATGCACTACGTGAGCTGTTCAACACTGTTGGGCTTGCATGGACATTAATTGCCATCATACGTAAACTGGGTCTTTATCAGGTATAAAGCAGTTGCTGTAAGCAGTAGGCTGACAGCCAAAAGATATTACATCTGTCATGACACTTTCAATCCGTAAAGAAGATACTAAGGTATAAGGGTTCACATGGCAGCTTTTGCACTTTTATTTACCGGGAGTTATGACCTTGATTTCAAAGAGATTGACTGCCCCCTACCAAGTTACTTAACTAGCTTTTATTTGATTTCCACAACAAAGGACACAAACCTATACTCTAGTTCTGCTACTTAGATATATCAAAACAAGTGTGCAGGCAGTTTTCTTCAGCTTTTCTACAAAGAAATAAGCTTGATCCCATCTTACACTAGTCTGGCCAGTGAGTGCAACAGCTGACAGAGTCCCTATTTTTCAACGTTTTAGGATTACATTTTATGTCATTACATTTTAATACGCATCCTATGCATGTTTAAACATAAAAAAAGCCCTAAAAGTTGCTGCACTCTCCAGTCAGCCATAGACCTTTTTTCTGCCTAAATATACATAGGATTTCCTCTACATCACTTTAAACATGCTGATCTAACTGCACTTGTGATGTGGTTCTATGGCTGTACATACTTGAAGCTTTTCCCCCACAAAATGCCTGGACATGGGCCTTGAAGTTAGCTTCACACCATGTCACAAACAATTTGGAATGAACTAGAGGGCCATAATAAATTTAACTATGTTTTGGAATTAATGAAACCATATTTTCAGAACTAAGCCATATAGGACAAGCCATGTTGCATGCCAGTCTGTTGGCTTTAAGGAAGAAAACTTTACATTAAAGTGTAGAGATAGGTTTTGTCTTACTTCCTACTTGCTTTGATCCTATGTATTTTCTGCTATCATACTTTAAAAATTAAGTGGTACAGCTATGAAAACTTGAGATAAAGTTGTAGTAGTAAAGCATTCTGAGAAAAATCAAGACCATATAGAATTTAGATGGTAAAATACCCTGATAGGAAAACATGAAAAAAGATCTTTAAATAGGTTTGTTTAATGTTATCTTTGGATATTGTCATGTAAAAAGAATGTAACAAAATGCAAAGGATCTGACACACTAAACTATGTGATGTGATGGAAACACCTTGCCAATGCAAGGATTATAGAAACTATTGAGTGTACCTGATCTTGTAAACAAATCTTTAATGTGTATGAAGGACAAGTGAGATATTTTACAGTATTTTAAAGCTGTTGTTCACCATGGAGGAAACATCCTTTCACTCTTCATGTCTATGTATGCCTGCAAAGTCAAGTGTCCCATTCATTAAAACTGAAATTATTGGAAAGTCTTTGTTAGGTCCAACTAACTTCCTCCCCATGGCAGTATCTCCTAGTTCATTGCTTTCATATACTCCATCAAGCTTGACCATCACCAGAAGACTTCTGAATTGCCCCCCCACAAAAAAAACAAAAAACCCCAGGCTTCACCAAGGAACAGTTTTGAAGCCATTGACTTGGGTTTAGAAGAGAGGTCAGACCATGGCAAGTGTGCTCACATTAGCAGATCAGGTCTAGAGGTACACGGATGTTACGAAATTAAATGAACACTCCTAAGGACTGAACACTCCTACCCCTCTATGAAGTGTCTAGCTTTCTGACCTTCTGAAAACCATAGCTCTGTTGTTAATCCACCCATTCCCTGAATTTTCCTTGATCCATGTATTTCAGTCAACCATGGTTTCCTGTGCTGCTGACTGTATTGGAAGTGATTGATATACTTTCTAGTTTTATGTAAAAGAATCTCACTAAGAAATTTTACAATAAAAAAGCAATGATCTAAACCAGAGGTGGTTACAAAAGCTCCAGTCAACCTCCAGAAATCCCTGCCTGCATAGCCATTGGTCAGGAATGCTAGGAGTTAAAGCACCAGTGGTACACTTGTTGCCCAACCCAATGAAAACTACTTAAAAGTACTATGCAAATGAAGTTTTCACCATGTTCCTGAGCCATTTCACAATTTTAAATTCAGAAAAGTCAAAATTGCTCACATAAGGAGCACTTTTACTTAAAAAACCCGATTTTCTGCAGTACTTATTTCTAGAAACAAGTACATCTCAGGTTTTGTCCAGCGAAAACTTGAGTTCTAAGGTACAACCTTCCAACACACTGCCGCCCAAGGCGTTTAACAATGCTTGGTTTTCTATAATGCAAAATTATGCAGCCTCATTTTTGTCTAGCTCATTTGCCCACCACAGCAAGGAATAGCACTTACCCAGGTAATACCCCAAAAAAGAATTTTGCAGCTACAATAGCTGCGATATTTAGCCTTTGACAGAAAAATATTCTGACATTGTGTTCATCACCTCCTCTGAATCATTTCGTAAATTTAAATAATTGTTTTGACAAGTGTTTACTCCAATTACTACCAAGATCATAAATTTGGTTTAGTATACATTTCTAGTCCAAGAGATGTTTAATTTCCAAAGTACATTGCAAAGATGCCTTACTTTATTACTGCAGCAAGCTTTGCAAACACTAATTCGAAGCAGAATTGAGGGGAATGGAAACATGAAATACTTCTGGGTCACTTAAGTGAGAGTCTAAACATTTCCTTTCAATTCAAATCCACTATTTGAAACTTAGAGCAAAAATCAATCCAAGCTAATTTCAGGGTTCTAAAAGTTTCCACTTAGTAGCAAAAGCATGCCACCTAACATGGCTACTTGTAAACCCTTTGAACGTCAGAGGATTATGGGTATTCAATGGAGGGCAGAATGGATGTGGAGGCAAGAACTGCCTTGGTGTTTCTCCCAACCACTTAGCTAATTTTGGTCATCTAAACGCTTTACACTGGCTCATGAGGAGTTGGGCTTGAGGCATCACGAGGATATCTTGTAGGACAATGCGCCGCCTCCCCTCCCCCACTGCCTCCAAGACTGGTCTTGCAACATTAGAGCTGTAGCTGGTGCAGAACGGACTGTAGCAGTGGCAAGGGCACTCTGAATTCAGAGTGCCAGCTCTGTCTCTGGAGCACTTCTCCAAGACTGAAAATTACAGTACAGTCATCTGGACAGTCTAATGGCCATGGGATTGTGCCCTGAGAGAAGTTCCAATAATACTGAAATCAATAAAAAACAAACTATTCAAGCTTCTGTCAATGTTGTCAAGCATTATTTGCAACTAAATGCAGGTGGGCAGGGAAGTGATTTGCTATGAAAACATTAGAATTGATATATGATAGTTTAATGAGATATTCAGCAGAGTAATAAAAACAGTTGTATATTTTATTTTTTTTGTAAAAAAAAAAAAAAGGTACACATGCAGACTAAAACCAGTGTAAGAAAAGTATCCACCATTATTTTAAACAAATAACTATACTTAAATAGAAATGTCTGCAATATGTTTGTATAAAAATAAGGTACATTTGTACAGAAACGGATTCTCCAGTTTTCATATTGATACAACTCTAAACACATATAACCTGATCATTGTTTTAAATCAGTTTGATACTGCTAAGGTATTTTATGTGCAAAAAATTCAACACAGTTCTTAAAAAAATGTCCTACATATTGAAGGTGTTGAGCTTCAAATTAAATCCTAATTGACTTCAAGTTTCAAACAGTCCATACATGTAAAATATCCAAGCATTGCTGAGAGGCATTGCCCCATAGTCAGCGCCTGTGCCTGCTATGTCCTGAACGACTACTACTGTGGTGCTTGCCTTTGTGAGCTCTCTCAAATGAGCGAGATCGCTCCCGCCTGTCCCTGTGGTGTCCTCGGTCATGCCTGTGTTTTTTGGCAACATCTGAATGGTCCCTGGATTTGCTCTGAGAGCGTGAACGAGACTTTTTCCTCTTGTGACTGTGTCTGTTTGCACCTTTCAATTCTTCTCGGCTGTGCTTGGGTTTTAGGTGTGGTGATGCATGATTATGATGTCTCCGGGGACTTCCACTATGACTATGCGATCTGCTTCTGGATCTTGAGCTGTAGGTTCCAGAGAGACTCCGCCTATTATTGTAACTTAAAACACAAGACATGAAAGCCTTTAAAGCTGACATTCAAAATTCAGAGTTAAAACTATCCACTGCTTGCATTGTATTTAATGCCTATACCACCCAGCAGCCAAGGTTTTCTGAGCAATTCACAAAACATTAAAATAAAAGGTATTAAAAACTGACAAATTTTAAAACTAAATTTTACACAACAAAATAACTTTTAAAAAGTTTCAGTTATTCCAAGTAGCTATACTTAGTCGTGGTAAGGAAAACTGCATTCAAATGGAATGCTATATCCTTCATTTCAGACATTTTACCTTTGTATGTAAACGTATTAAAACCCTCACTTTGCACAATCATGGCTGCTTACTGTGGATTAAATCATCATGGGTGTGAAGCTGTTTCTGAAGATTCAAGCTTATGTTGTCAAAACAGAGATGACAGAGGTTGTGCAGGGATTAGAACTACCACCAGATCAAGCCATGGGTGGTTTAACCCTTGCATAAAAACCCCAACCCAGGTTTAGATGATGTAACAAGCTACAACCATGGTCTGAATATTCACAATGTCAACTTGAACATGCTGCGACCTACCCGGGTTAAATAGCATGATGGTTAATTTGATCATGAGAGCAGGCACAATGTAAATCTATCAATTCAGAGATATTTCACTGCTAAATAAATACCAAACACATCTATTTTTTTCCTCTTATGTGAGTAGGCTAGCAGAATTAAGCCCTTGGCTCTACAATAGCTAGGCCTCACTGCTAACAAATCCACAAGAAATCTTTAATGCTATAGCACATATCAGGTAGCACTATTTATGACTATTACATAATTATAATATAATTACACAATTATAATGGTGACCAACTTGTGATATTTCATTACTTGAGCATCTATAATAAATCAGAGTAAATGACCCAAAACCTGAAGCTTATTATGATCCCCATCACTAAGCTTCCTTATAAATATATATGGGAAGATAGGCACATATTTTGTGTTTTCTAGTTATGACTTAGCCTTTTTAAAAATACTCACTGTCTCCTTGGAGAATGGGATCTGGACCGCGATTTTGTTCTTGACTTTGATCGACTAGCACTTCTACTGCTTCTACTTCTCTTGCTCTCTTTTCTCATACTAGATTAAAAGAATGAGCCCCATATTAATTACACAAAGAAGCACTCTGGAATAAATATGTATCACCATTTTGCCATTTGACAAAATCATTAAATAAAGTTCTTCAGGCAGTTCACAAGCCAAAGAATCTTACTTACCCATTATAAGGGCTCTTGGAAATGACCTGTCTGTCTTCTGGCTCTTTTTTAATAGCTTTTGCATTTATACACACTGGAGACTTCTCTTCAATTTTCATTTCTCTTGGTGAGCCTAAGAATTTAAACAATTCATGGTAAATGTACTTAACTGGCAAAACTTTGGCAACTCCCTTTAGTGAATTTACTAATAAAAGTTTTTACAAATGGCATCAAATGACAACTATGTTTTGATTGTGTGACATTATTACATTTCGTATCTCCTGATTTAAGATATCACTTTCTTGATTTTGTTATATTTTGAAAGCATCTAGCAATAATGCTGGTCTTCGGACAAGCATGCACCATCAAGCATGCAAGTCTACACTTCCTCAGTACTATCTGGTTCTGCCACTTAGTGTACTTGAAGCACAGGAATAGAGATGTCTGATTAAGTCTATCACAAGCCCCCAGAGAAACCAGAAACTCGTGGCACGTATGTTCCAGGTTAGTCATTCATGATGAGCTGTTAAATGAATAAAAGGCTGCACCATTTGCTAACTAAGTTCCTAGATACACAAACTCCTAATTTTGCAGTGGATAATCAAAACAGAGGTGCACATTACAGGAAACTTACAGGGTTTAGAAGCAGGTGAAAAGCCACCTAATGTAGAAAGAGCTGGTGTTCCATCTGGATTTAATCCTTTTGCTTTTAGTTTAGCTTCCTGTAGTGCCATTTTTCTCTTTTCTACTTCCTTATCAAGTAATTCATAGTTAGGCTGCAAGGAGATGCAGAGTCAAGAGTTCAGAACATATCAAGCCAAAGTATGAACATGCCTGTACACAAACATGCACCATTTAGCTAATATTCCTTCTAATACTGAACTCAGATAGTTGAGTAACTATCCATTTGGAAGAAAAATAAAAAGACAGTGTGATCTAATACTCAAGAAATCTCATAGGTATGTTTAAGTATACAAATCTGTGAATTAAAAGAATGCACCAGAAGTCAAGCAGACAGGAAGTCTAATTAAGTCTACAGCTGAGTGCAGCTTGAGTCAGATAATGTTCACACATCAGTTGAAAATAGAATAGGAAAAAGGGGGGGGGGAGAAGAAAAGCAGTTGACAGGAGATAAATATTTGTGGGTGGGACTTGTTAGGGTTGGAGGAATAACTTCCCCATCTTTAGAAGTGCATGTACTTATGCTGCAATACAGAGGTAAAATATACTGAAGTCCTTTCAAGTTCTATAGTTCAGCAGGAGCAACTGTCTTGTTTAATTCTGTTCCCACCCAACATAAAACAGAGCTTGTTCTTTGGAAGTACCAAAAAGGTCACTCATCCAATGAAAACCACTTAGAAGGAACACACATTAAAAGGCAGTAGTTTCTACATATTTGGAAGCTCCCTAGATACCTGTTCTGAAAACTCACATATCCTTACCTGGGGGGGGGGGGGTTCTTCTTATATTATAAATCCCTGGAATTTTTCAGCCCCTCTCCATTGTCTATAAAATGCTTAAAGACTAACAGTCACATTCAAACCTGAGCCCTCCAGTGATGCATACTATAGCACGGGAAGTCTGCGGGAAATGAGCTTTTTCCTCATCCTTACATTCTGAATGACTCCTACATGGAAGAACACTTAATACTCCAACTTTTTGTTGTAGTCCTACATATGAACATACTAAAAGTTACCTTCTTTCTAGTGTAGAGCTTAAGTGTTGTTAGACAGATCTCCTGAATTTCTTCTTCAGTAGTTCCAAAAAGAAAAAACCAATGAGGACGATTAGGCAAAGGAATCTGGAAGACAGAAAATTACAGAAAATGTGACAAACCTGAGCATAATTTCATTGAGAATTTAAAAAAAAAGCTAAACTGCTTAGGTGGAAACTTACTTGTAGAGCTCTAGCAGCAAGATAAATACAAGCACATGCTATTGTTTCTGGCTGAAATCGAACAAACACATTGGTTCGAAGACTGTCATTCATGTAATTCCTGAAAAATATGAATGTGAATTTGTCTCAAGTTCTAAAACCTTCTATGAAATCAAACATATACAGTTGGAGACTCAATCTACTTTATTATTTTTTCTTCATCTTTATTCCAATTTAAATGAACTGCCTCAAATGCCCCTGGACCACTGTAACAAATAGGCTCGTCATCTCTCTAGAACCCTGAAAGCATAAGCCGAGCTTTACTCTGAATTTAGTCTTCAACACCACAATGATGTGCAAGTCATTATTAAGACCTTACAAACTATTATGTAGCTCATATTTATGGATATTCTATGAAGTGTCCATCAACTTACTCCAAAGAAATTTGTTTGCATGACCAAGCAAATTAATTTTTTTAAAATTAACTGTACATAATCCTTTAACATATTTAATAGGATAATTCATTGTTACTTAAAAAAGATTCAGATGTTATCTTCTACAGCATGTTTCTAGTTACTAAATTAATGGCTGAATGCATTACCCACGATACACAGAGAAAACAAGATCTCTAGAATATTAGCCAACCAGTGAAGCACTTTTGCATCCCACTGAATTGATGGGAATTATATAAGCACATGCTTAACTCTCCTGTGGGATTAGGCTGGAAGTTGCCATACAGATTTTCTTAACAAGCAATTTCACTGGATTTTAATCTATCTTGTCCAAGCTTGCAGCCTCTGGGAAATCTGAAAAACTCTGCACAGATGAAGTTCAGGTATCAGTTATAAACACAGCATCATTTCCTAGCAAATTAAACACATTATTTACCACTCAATATGGAGTTACTCAAAAATGCTAATTTGGAATTTAGTAATAAAAGCTTAACTTCTGAACATACTGTGAATAACTATTGTCAATACACAGACAGTAAAAAAAATTAGGCATGTGCTAGCTTTCTGCATGCACAGGAGTGCAAAAAAATGCATCCCCAAACAATTAAATAAAAATATAGACAAAATTGGAAAAGCAGTTAAGAATCATGCTGAATAGAATAAAAGTCTATTTGGTTTACATCAAAAGGTCATGTCACAAACCATAATAATTAGGAAAACAAATATACATTTCATGATATGTATGTTGAACAGATACTTCTAGAATCAAATATACAAATCCTTTTGACACCCCGACAGAACTAGGAGATGCTGCCAGATGGATATGGACCACTTCAGTAAATCTTGGCTGAGAGCTTGCACTGGATTGGCTGGAGAGAGAGAGGCAGCCAATCAGGCCATCCTCAGGTCATGAGCTGTGGTGCAGAGGGCAGAGTTCTATGACTTACCATCAGGGGCTACCCTTTAATTAAAGAGTAGAAAAAAGAAAAAAGTTAAATTGAGTTCTCCAAGAAAATATTTTATGAAAGCCATGAAAAATAGTAAGCAGAAAACAAGCAACACACACTTCATGAGGTATATTTATTTAACTTACAGTTTATTGTTTGTCATATGGAACATCAAGCTTGTTTTTTTCTCTGCTACTATTTTCCTGGCTAGGAGAAGAGAAGAGAATAACTTACCAGGCTGTTTGGACGAGGGTTTGGTTACGTTCACATTCTAAGACTTGTAAGTACATAACAATGATCTGAAAGAGAAAAAACAAAACCCAAACCTTAGTAAAACAGAAAACATTAAGCAAAACTGTGCTACGTCATCATAAATACATAGAATACTATGTTTTCCTCTTCTACTAATATCCACCTCTGAGAAAAAAACCAAGATCTCCCCAATGCTAGCTAGCATTTCGAAAGGTTACCCCATTTCTCAGAACTGGCATTTGTGCCTGTGTTATGCAATTAGTACATACTGGGTTTTTACCTTTCCTGTCCCCTCAGTAAGGGAGAGAAAACTTTAGCAGACTCACCTTATGTGGATGCTTGACATGAACACAAAATCCCAATTCCTTCAGCACCCTCCTTTCTGCTTTGATTACTTGATTTTTGGTGTTTATGTAGTTCTGATCAAGTATCAATGGGCTTGGAGTCCTACAGTTTGTAAGAAATAGAGTCAAAACGGTTTTCTATATCGAAGAGAGCGGCTTCTCTGTTTTCCCTTCCAACCAACTAATGGCAACAGAAACCAGATTTTAAACTCCTGCAAACAAGTTTAAGCTTTAATCTTGTGCTGTCCATTTTAACTAAATTTACTACCTACAACTACACAACTAATAATTTATTCTGTTAACATTTAGATGAGACATCCAAAAGCATTTCATTTTATATAAAACAACAGGTGGTCTACAAGGCTGAATCCCAAGAAACTTTAATCTTGCAGAAAGATTCATTCTCTGAAAAGGAATTTATACCTTCATCAAATTACACCTTGCTACTTTCAACATCTGCAAAATAAATGGGTTAGGCAGGAAAAATAAAACAAAGCCACACTTAAATCATTTTCCTTTGAATAACAACAGCATATTCCAGATTTCTTAAATGTTAAGTCTAATTTTGTTCCTAAGAGCAGCAGGAAAAAATGCAATTATTTTATCTGTTGTAACATATTCCTGCCCTAACCCTAAATGTGTGCAGTAAATACATCTGTTCCATGCTATATATATAAAAATGGATATTAAAGGTTTAGACTGTTACATGTAACTTTGTGTTACTGGGTAATTGCCAAGACTTGTTATGTTGCTCTTAATCAGTTAATCAAAGTAAAAAACAATTACAGCAACAATCATGTACCCAAACTACAATGACATTAGAATATTAATATTTTGTTATAACCAATATAATTCTCTTCATCAATCTTCATGAAGAAAAGAATGCACTTGGGGCATTACATGCAAAACAACATGCTTAAGGTTGCTTATAATTTAGGTTTCTGCTTTAGTCCTGCCTCTACTTCCACTGCTCTCCATGCTGAGATAGATTGTAAGCTCCTTTGGGAATAAACATGTCCTCTTATACTCGAAGTCACGATGATCGACCTCTACCAGTAAGCTAATAACAAAGTTTAGACACTTAGAAAAAGGAAAGTTTGTTTACACTGGAATGCCCAAAACCAACACACACACACACAAGCAGCAGCTCTGGGTTAAAAAAAAAAACCAGGCCCTAAACAATCAGCATATAAAAGAATCATAAGCTGTTTTCAGCAGTATAATCTGAATGCTAAGCCATTTTCAAATGCAACAGGACAAAAAGCAAGTACAGGCACAATCTAACAGGGATGCTTGTAATCCTCCAAATTCAGAAAAAGGGAAAGGTATGAAGGTGAAGATTAGCAGAGTGAAAAGAGTACAAAGGTAAACAGACCTGATTTTGGCCATCCCCATCATGTGTTTCAGAGGCAGAAGGAAGGAGACTGAGGCACCATCAAGATACATCATATTTTGGTAGTGCTAGTCACTTCCCCATCCCAACCCCACTGGAACATCCGTCCTGTGGTTGTTGTCCAGGGGCAGTAGGCCTGCTCTGCCCAAGTCCATTCTTATCCATTTAAAGTAGAATGGCTTCCCATCCATAAATCTTGATAGTGGAACCTCACTATGTATTTCCACACAGATACAGCCTGATCCAAGCACCAAATGCATAAATGTTACTGCAGTGAAGACAATTTATCCCATGGAATTACTGGAATTACTGCATTTAAATGATCCCAGACAGAACAGGCTGTGCAAAGCCACAGGAACAACTATCCTTGCATTTAAAATTATAGCATTTTAAGAACTTGGCATGCTTACACATATAATTATTTATTAATTTGCAAAACAAAAAACTATTTCTTGTACAAATATTTTAAAGCAGTAGTCTACCATGCATTTCTCACTAGAAAGTTTGTATCTGGCCCAATACACATTTTTGCCTTCTTGTTGCTACAGACAACTACAACAAGACTTGTACAACATATGATACATGTTACTAAATACTGGAAACTATGTATTTTTCCTCATCAGTCCTATCAGCTCTTCCTTGTGCACAAATAGTGGCTCAATCTTAATGTGCTAGTTTTGCTAACTTGTTTCATAAAATAAATGATTGTCATGTATCTAAAAGTTTGAAAAATAAAAATAGGAGAGGCCATCCATGAACAGCCAATAAGTCTAGAAAAGCAGGTATCTCAAAATCACTATCTGGTTGTTCCAGATTCTTCTCAAGAAATTTAAAACTCATATTCATTTTCTTAGTATTTAAATTATCTGGCTTACCCATCTCATTTTTGTTACTCAAATCTGTATTGTATCAATAAGGGCAACTAAATGAAAAGTTCTGTAAAACAGAGAACTTTAGTGAGCTCATTTGGACTCTAATTACTTGCCCAGCAAAATATTAGTCATGAATGTGACATGCCTTTCAAGAAGATTAAGACCAGAGTTTTTATATTACATAGAGAATAATGGGACATAACATACATGCAAACTTTGGGGTAGGTTCCCAAAAATAAAACTAATGCAAAAAGGTATGTGCAACCAACAAGTATCATTACATAGTCAATATCTACTAGAGCTTTACTTACAATCTGGAAACATTACATAGGCATTGAAGCCAACTATGGTATAGCAACTAGACTTTAAGGAACATGCTGAAAAACAGTATTCTGATTAAGCAAGAACTTGCCTCTTATCTGTTTTGCCAGCAGGCTAAGCATTTGGAGTAAGAGTAGCCCAGCATTTTGTATCTAACTTAAAGGAAAGCAAACTTAAGCTTATTTTTCACTACACTGCCAGTAGGTCTCCAAAGTTTCCTTTTTATTTAAGGCCATTACACTACAAATTAAATGTGCACTTGACTGGGAGTAAAGTTCCATGCTTGAACTTACTTCCAAGTACATGGATAAGACTTCACTACAAATCTACCAGGTGAGTCTATATAACTGCATTAAATATTTTAGCACTATCCTTTGGATGTTTTATCTCATCAACAGGTACACATTTAGAGACATTTGATCCAAATGTACTTGGTTCAAACTCTTAACATCAAGTGATGATTGTAAAGAAGAGCTTTAACTCGTACACAGCTCAATCTCCCATCCTGAATTCGGTTGAATCTTCAAAATGGATAAGTGGGAATTATAACCTTCAACCTGCATTTCACGTTTGATTTTACACGTGTAAGATCCCAGAGAATATTATGTCCAATATTATGAACAAGGGCAAGCTACCGTTATAAAGTAATAACTGATTATTAAGCTTGTTCTTTCAGTGTAATATTGTTTCAAACCAGTAGTACAAACTATACTGAAAACGTATTATATGCACAACCCTGCATTCCAATGTCCGGGCTGTCTGACAATGGATATATGAAGCTACTTTATCCAAAAAGGTCAGAGCACTTAGATTGTCTATTCTAGCAGGAGCCCTCCAGAGTCTTCTGCCCTTCATGAATGGCCTTGGAAGGGATCAAATTCTCATTTGACTATGAAACTCTCCAGTTGATGTTGGGCAATCATTAACTGACTGCCTAACCTACCCTTAACAGGATTATTGTGCAGATAAAATGGGGGGTCAGGTAGAACAGGTCAAGCTCTTTGGAAGAAAGGTGGAACAGAAATCAAGTAGCTAGAAAATAACTTCCATCTTACTTAAAACTTTTCATAGGATGTTTGCAAGTAACCAATATGCTGTGTCAGGTCCATCACTCTCAAATGAGCAGATTCCATCTCTGTACAGATTAAAATATTATTTTACTACATCTCTCCGCCCAAATGCTGTTGTAATATCAATAGACTCTGAAGTATTTCAATCAGTATAAAAATGATTGTCTTTAGTTTGTACAAAAAATCTTATTTGCTGATAAGCTTTCTTTCTTAGTGAAAGCCCCTTCAGATATTAATTGCTATTTATGTTTTAAGCAGAATGCTTCCTATTTATAATCATTAATGCTTCACTTCAGGGGAAAAAAAACCTGTATCTTACGGAATTCTTTAGGGGGAAACCCTAACCCCTTGTCTAATAGAACATTTTTCATTCAGTGCTTCATTTAAGTACTCAGTATAGTATACTTCTAAACCAGGTGAACTGCCTTCAAGGTAGGAATTACATTGTACACACTTCATAAAATAAAACAGATTAAAATTTGACAAAGCAAAACAGTGTAGTATATTGATTTGTTGGTTCAGATTCTAACACACAATTTTAGCTATTAAAAAAAAAAACCTGGACAGCAAAGATAAAAGCTTAACACAAGATACAGGAGTTCTTCCAAATGGTTCACCAATGGCCAACCTGTCAGTCCCCGATTCCAGTGACCTATTCTCAGAGCACTGGCTTCTCCTTGGGGATTTTCGATACGTCACTCACTGTTGCCATGACGACAGCTTCATCTCTATGAACCACTCCACATCACCCAGGCTTTGGTAAATGTAGCTGGTCGCTGTATAGTCGGTTGCAAGGGAAAAAAGAGCTAAAGTTAATAACATGTACAGCTATTTTTTTTTGTAAAACTGTAACACGAAAGAAAAAATGCTTACATCCTGCTTAAAAATGATCCTGCATGCCAAAATTTGATACAGATATTTTCTCAAATGTTCAGAAAGTACATTAGGTAACTTAACATAAAGACAAATAAAGCAGATTTGCTTGAGCACAATATCACAATGCAACATGGCATATACTTTTTAATGAAAGGATTTGGTTTTATTTATAAAGTTTAACCATCACCCAGATAACTTTGTTTTACCCAGGCTGACTGAGAAATATTTGTAAATTATAAGTTTGTTAAATTTCACTTGAAATCAAGATACTGGGGGAAAGTCCTGGCTGCAATGGCCTCATTCAAAACAAAGTTATAATTTTCATTTATTTTAAAAAACTTGAAAACTAAATAAGGAATATTAATACACATGGGTGTACTAAACAGCAGCTAGCATTGTCTAGATATACGCTACATTTCAAGATACTAATTTAACTGTTGTGTTTGGGATGCCCCATCATCCCATAAGATATGGCAGCAAAAAACAAGTCCTTGGAAACTTCACTAAATTGTCAAGACATCACTTAAGTCAACTCTATCCTTACAAATACGGCTTCACGCAACAATATCCAAGCTAATACAATTTACTTTCTATCAGCAGCTCCTCCTCTATTTTATTCCCAAACATGGGACAGTTCAACAACTGGGGACATTAATCTATATCAATCACAAAAGCACACACAAAATTGAGACTCATCTGATTTATAGACAATCATGCTGATTGATAAAAGTCTTGTTCCTGTAATTCTAGGTTCTCATGGCTTCCAGGATTCCTTTGTTTACCTCCTTGAAGATACTATTAAAACAGGCAAATGCTGTAAACCAAATGCTGTCAACTTCCCCAACCAAAAATACTACTAGAAACTTAATTAGTTGGATGTCAGTCTTCTGCAAGAACTTGAGAAGCAATATTTACTCTCTAATAAAAATAAGCAGCAATCTAACATGTCTTAGTATTCCCCATAGAACTATATCTAGTAAAAAGTCTCTATAACAAATTGCTACAAGACCAGCAATAAATTAAGCAAAACAAAGAACCTAACAGTACCATCTCAGACCTAAGTCTTCCTTCCATCAAACTCCACTCAGTGCATACTTGCTACTTCAAGACACTAAGTCACAATTTAACAAACATTATGCCTACTAAAGTCAGGTATAGAGCTGTTTGTACACAATTCAAAAACCACCCTTTTCAACCTAATGCCATAAACCTCCAAAAACAGAACCTCCACAACCTGTGGACATTGCAGTGAGGCAGTGTACAGAGGTACATTGCATCAAAAATGGAGTGGAACTTACCTTTTTGCTCTTAACTGGCGCAAGTGATGGAAAACATTGATCACATCTCTTATTCGACGAGGTGCTTCTTCAATTTTGGAAGCAAGATTGATGCAAGCCATAGCAACAATCTGAAAAGAAGCCCATTGCCATGAATAAAATAATTTCCAGACTCAAACATAGCACATTTTTATACAATGAGACCCTATACTAAGGACTACCCCCAAAAAGAAATTGTGATCAAAAGGTGATCCAAGCTAGCATATTTTAAAAATGTCTCCGAGACAAAAGGATGGTGCAGATACCATCAACAATATGTGTGCTTGCTCCAGATCAACGATTCACCCCCCCTCTCGTTTTTATTTAGAAAACAAGTCATCCCCACAAAAACCCGCAAGGCCGCTTATATTCCATACCCCGGAACTCACCTCGAAGCTGTGCTTGACGAAGGATTTGGAATAGAAAAAGCGATGAAACAGCACCTGCCCGGTCGCCATCGCCACCTGCAAAGACAATTCCCCGGCGGGGAAGGAAGAAATATCAGCCATGTCAGTCACCGACAAAAACCGCATGCGCAGAGCCCAGCTTACCCTCCCCTCCCCCACTGCACGCCCGTTCCGGAAGCGGCGTCGACGCCGGGCCTGTCAAGTAGGCCGAGGTCGCAGCGCCGCCATTTTGTGTGCAGCGGTGCCCGTCTCGCAAGCCCACCTCACGTCAGCACGCTGGCGGCATTCAATGGCGGCGCCATCCCCAACCTCCCCCATCGCGCCTCCACCGGGCCGTCCGCACCCACTCCCTCCTCGTAGCGAAGGGAGAGGTCCCGGGCCGTCCGCCAGGCCGCAGCTGAGTCACGCCGCACTGTTGGCTAACCAACCCACCGACCAGCCAGCCTTCTTCCCCTCCCGCCTTCTCCACACAGCCCCGTTTTCGCTGACCTGCGGCAGGCGGAGGAGGATGCCGGCGACTTGGATGAGCTCGCAGCCCAAGATCCGCAGGTCAGTCTCGCTCTCCAGGTCCAGCCCATCCTGCATGGAGGGAGTCGGAGAGAGCCGCTCCTCGGGGATCAGCGAGTGATCAATGGTGAGCGACACCTCAGAATACAGCCGGTCGCCGATCAGGATCCCTGCGGGGAGAGGCGGCGGCGGCGGCGGCGGCGCCGAGCCGAGGGAGGCCCCCGTGGCGGCAGGAGAGGGATGAGTCCCAGCACAGGCCATGGCGAACGACGACCTAACGCACGTCCGACCGCACCCGGAGCCGGCCACGCAGAGAATAACGCGTCTGCGCTCGGCCCGCCCGGCGTCTGATGACGCAGCACGGAGCGGTGCGCGCCGGGAAAAAAGAGTCCTTCACCCTCCCTCCTGGCCGCGGAGCGAACGCAGCGCGCGGTACTCATTCGCATGACCTGTTTGGCGCCACAGGGCGGGCGTGTGAGGGGTGGGCGATGTCGGGGGAGGAGCGCGCGCGCGTGCGCGCGCTATTAATAACCGCCAGGGAGAACCGTGGGCCTCAGAAAGGTTGTCGAGGCTTGGCGCGCGCGCTCAGGTGAAGAGGCGCAGAATTAGAAGTCTAAAGAGCGGATGGTGCCGCCTCAGATCGCGGGGCGGGGTGTGGAATGTTTTCTGTAAAAATACTAAATGTGCTACATTACTGTATTTATTTTATTTTTTTATTTAACATATTTATACCCCACCCTATACGCAAAAGTGTCTCAGGGCGACTTACAAAAATCAAAGCAAACAATCCAACAGGTTAACACTAATTAAATAAATAGTGAAATATGCACATAAAACCAATAACATTTCACAAATGAAGGAATATCAAAGTCAAGAATAGGAGCAAAATCAAAAACCAAAAAGCGACTGTGAAGTTAAAACCTGATTAAAATTCCTAACATTTAAAATGATGGGCAAATAACCATCTTCCCTGGACGGTTTATATATGTATACAAGCATATAGGCATGCAGCACACCAGGCATAGCCATCCCTAACAATGATTTAAATCAACAAGAAAAAAATAAAAATCTGGCCAAAAGCACACCGAAACAGGACAGAGAAAAGGATGATGTCTTAACTAGGCGCCAAAAAACTATTGGTATGAGATCACATCGTTCTGCAATTGTGGGGCCATCACCAAAAAAGCCTCCCTTCTTGCTGTCTTCTGAACCTTCTTTGGAGCAGGCCCCTGGAGGGGGGACTTAGATGATGAACATACAGTGAGTAGCTTCATGCTGAAATAGACACTCTATTAGGCATTGTGGTCTTGTGCCATGTAAAAATGGCACCTTAATGGAGTTCATACACATGCAACTAGTACAAATGGCTCAGCATTGGTATTGCTTCTTGGCTGGTCCTTGCAATACCTGAAAGTAGAAACCTAGTCTGTCAGGGAAAAGGGAACTTTTCTTTTTTTAGTCCACGCTCTGCTGGTTTTCTTTAATACTCCCTGAGGTTTTTTTTTTTTAAACATGGACTACCTTAGCTTCATTTTAAAGCAGACCAAGTTATTCTGCTATTTCTTTTTTACTGCATGATTAAGACCTGGTGCTATCCAAAAGTGAAAGTGATTTATGGAACACAAGCATATTTTAAAGAGGGCTTCAAGTGCTAACAATCAGAAGACCCTGTTACAGGTACTCTGTCTTTTCTTTCTTTATTTGATTACCTGTGATATAAAAGCAAAAATAGAAGCAGCAGTGGAAAATCACAGGAGGGTTATGGGTGGAAAATGACATGTGCACTACCGGAAAAATTCCATTAATGATGCAGGGTGATATCACCATAGAAGCCTTATCTGGAAGCACTCACAGAGGCTTGTCCATGTTATTTGTATTCAGAAAACATCTGTTACCCTCTATAGAACAGGTAGAAAATGTCTACTAAAACCATTGCTGCATGAGTTTCATCTGAGAAATAGTGTAATGTAGTGGAAAGTGTTGGCTATGAACTGGTATATTTTTGATTCATGCGCAGTCATAAAGTCCCCTGACAAAATGAGCAAAAGCTCTGTTAAAATATGGCTGCTGAAAGCCTGACACTGTAAGAGCAGTTTTAGATAAGGTGGGATTTCCTGATCTGATCAGGAACCCATGTTGCAAGTCTTGCTCCCCACCTACACCTTAGATATGCTAAGGTATATTTATCCTGAAAGTTCTTCCTTTTGACTCTACCCTCCCACAAACTCTGTATAGAAATGTAATAATAATAATAATAATAATAATAATAATAATAATAATAATAATAATATAACTAATAGGCTATAACAACATCCTCTGCAGACTCTACCAAGACTGTCCCTTTGACAGCTGCTGGCACATATTTCCTGTATGTATGAATAAACTGTAAATGTTCTTTTGATTGTACAACCCCAGCAAACTCTCCGATTTTTCTTGTCAGTATCTTCAGACCTGTCACTCTTTCTCAGGGTCGTCAAAACAGAATAGGAGGAAGGTAGCCAGTTTAAACTCCTTGGAGGGAGGACCAAAAAAAAGGGAAATGTTTATAATAACCAAAGTGTATACTCCTTACATCCAGCCTTAGAATTTACAAAATGCATAGAAATGACTTAAAAAAGCATTATATTTCTCCCTGCCTAGTCATTTTCAAGTCAGTTTATAGAGGAAAAAAAAGACCCATACTGAACTTTTAAAATGGAACAAGGAACTTATAAAAATAGCTTGCCCTGAAAACTTGCATGTTATCACAGTGCTATTCAATGCACAATAATTTAGAAAGTGCTTATCAAACAGCTGATCTGTGGTAAAACATGACAGCATTTAACCAGATTTGCAAATAGTCTTTGTTGCAGAGTGTCCGGAAAGCTTGCAGAGTCTGTATATCCTGATAGGATTTTTAGAATTGAAAAACAATGGGCAGGGACCATCTTGTTTTGATTGATTTATATTGACCCCATTCTGGGAGGCTTTTTAATTTTTTAATTTATTATATTTATATGCTGTCTTTTGTCCTTCCAAGGAACTCAAGACAGCTTACATAATTCTTCTCCTCACTCTTATCCCCACAACAACAACCCAGTGAGATAGGTTGAGCTGTAATTCTGTGACTGGCCCAAAGTCTCCCAGTGAGCTCCATGGCTGTGTGGGGACTAGAATCTAGATCTCCTGACTCCCAAGCCCACACTCATTATCACTACACCACAATGGCCTCCTGCAGGTTTTTTTTTTTTTTTTTGACTGAAGATTGGGTACAGATGCTTTAAATAAATATCCTCAAATCACTTGTTTAACAGGACAGCTAGAACAAGTCCTGTGCATACCATAGAGTTAATTTTCTGCTTTCGGTACCAAAGAAGTGGCTAAATCAATGGACTGGTTTATAGTCTGAACAATAGCTGGATAACAACGTGTGAAATTTAAATGGCAAGAGTATGGGCTGGTGCCAAATGAGTAGCACATTGTAGCTGAGGGCATGCAGGGCCAATGAATTAACAACAGAGCTTGTGGCAAAGTTGGTACATGGCAAGGAGGCCCCTTGCTACAAAGTTAGTGATAGCAATAGGCAGTTGGAAAGATGGCACTTAACTGCCCACAATGCCCCCAACGTAGAATTGCTCCTAAAATGGCTTTTTTGCATAGCTCTCTGGGATAGTGAGGAACAGGCATTGGTGCCAGGGAGGTGCTAGGATGTTGAGCCTCAGCAGCTGCCCAAAGGATCCAGGTGCTGATGCTGGGCCAAATTAAAAATAACTATCTTAGAGGATATACAGTGAAACATATCCTTTCTATGTACACATGCTTCACTTAGGAAACCTATCCACAGGATTTCACATTTTACTTGAGAAAGGCCTTGATGGCTCTGTTTTCAGTAATGCTTTTAGTCTGTTTCAAAGGGAACATAAGAAGAGCCATGCTGGGTCAGACCCAAGGTCCATCTAGCCCCATATTCTGTGGTTTCAGTGGCCACTGGGGGAACCCACAAGTAGGATATGTACTTAGGCATACTGCCTCTGTACAGGAAATAGCACATAGACATCATGAGCAGTAGTTTTGCATGTCATGAAGGTCTCTAATCCCCTTTAAAAGCCATCCAGATTGGTAGCCATCACTATATCTTGTGGGAGCAAATTCCATATATGAAGTGGGAATATTAGAATAAATATCTGAAATTTCTCAACCAATATGAATTAATTTGCAACTAGCAAACTGTAGACGATTTCATGCACTGTTCAATATACTAGTGCATAACCGTTTCGGTCCCCAGGTGATGCTGCCTCAAGTGCTATGAGAAACCAAACTCCTATATTGGGAGTGTACTCCTCTTGAAGGAGCAGGTTTGTAGCTTGGGGTGCTTTGTCATTTGAAGTCCAGGTGGCATGGACTTCTACCAGCTCAGTTTTATCTGGACTGAGCTTCCACTTGTTATCCCCCATCTTCCACTGACAGAATCATGCATGAGCTTAGCATATCCACAGCCAAACCTATGGAAAATGAAAAGGAGAAACAGAGCTAGGTGTCATTCATGACAATGCACTCCAAAACTTCAGATGAGCCCAGTCAGTGGTTTCACGTAGATGTTAAATATTATTTGAAAAAAAGAAAATGGCGACCATGTTTGCATCCTGCTTTTCCTGCGTGAAGCTCAAGCCTCATTACGCCACCCAATTTTTCTGTACAACAACATTGTGAAGTAGGCTGTCCTGAAAGCTGGATCAAGATCACCTAATTGAGCTGTATCAGGAGCTTCCTTAGTTAAACCCAATTTATTTTCCTAATCTGATACACTTAATTGCTGCCCCACATTGACTCTGGAAGACTTACATATTTAAAGTCTGAACTATTACTATGCAAAAATCCAAGAAATCAACAGTTTTAAAAGCTCAGTTATAGGCACATTTCCTGTTCTTGCATTATTCCAAATGTCTTTCATATGCACATCAATTAAACTAGTTCTGCTCAGATGACTACCTTTGCACAATCCAACTATTGCTTCATATGCTTAAGGGATAAAGTGTCCGGAGTCAACCTTTGTTGAAACCATGTCATTTGCCTGATTAGCCTTTGGATGCAAGTTCCTTCGCAGCGAGGAAAGGGCACTCTGTATAGGCTCAGAAGTACTTTTAGTTACGACTACATATTCTCTGCATGTGAACCTCCACTCAGATTAAACTCATTTTTTCCCATTTCCCTTAAGGAGATCTGAGAGAATGGTAAATTGAGATGAAAACGAAATTCAATGCAGAATTACTAAAGGCGATACTCGTATGATTTACAGCTCGATTTTACATTCGCCCGAAGGGAGGAGCAGCCACCCCCCCGCCGCC